GGTCTGAAGGAAGGAACAGATGGGGGTTATCCAGGTGGAGGGAGGTTCAAAATTCCAGACAGAGGAGCACTGTATATGAAGAAGGAAGAAATTTCAGAGGGAGTAGTGGGAGCACAGGAGGAGTTAAGGGGGGGAGTAGGGGGTAGAAATTATGTACATACAGTACTTGGGTATGAAAGTCTCAGAAAAAAAAATTCAAAAAATAAAAAGAAAAAAGAAAAGGCTTCCCTGAGGGTATGAGGTCTGAAGGAAGGAACAGATGGGGGTTATCCAGGTGGAGGGAGGTTCAAAATTCCAGACAGAGGAGCACTGTGAATTCCAGGCTGTGGGAAAAAGCATCACATCGTCAAGGAACTAGGGTCAACAGATCTAAATCTCACATGGCCTTATGTTCTGCAACCTTACTCTAACACTTCCTACATCTTGCCTTTAATTGTCCTGCAGAAGCTTTGGGAGGGAAAGTGACAGCATGCTTTGCTTGTCTTCACGTTCATTTAGGGAACATCAGCCCCTTTTGTGCTCTCTCTTCACAGTATGCAGTATATGGATGGGCATATAGTAGGTGCTCAGGAAATGTGCGTATAGTGAGAAATGAGATGAACAGAAGCACTCTCACTTGTTTAAATCAGAGGCTGGCATAATCTTGGGTGTTTGTCCTAGAGGCTGTGGAAGGTGAGGACTTTTGGTGGTACTATGCCACCTAGTGTTGCCTTTTATTGCAACAACACAGGGGAACAGAGTGGCTTGTTTTCCCTAGCCCAGAACACGGGAAATGAAACATTTTTTTCATCATCATTAATTGAGTTGTCTAAACACCCATATTTTTACCCATTTTTCTACCCATATTGATGTCCAATCGTATCTCACTCCTGTGATCTGAACATGTCACATGTCTTTCTATCTCCCTGTGGTTCCCTGACTGACCACTTTGGGGTCTTTGTGTCCCCACATCATAAAGCACTCTGTCAGGATGGATACCATTGTTCTAGATTCTCCAAGCTCCCATAGTACTTCCTGTGGACATGGAACAAACGTCCTGAATCAGACTTCTTAAACATTTTTTACTTCATGGCCTCTTTACACCCAATCAGTTTTTATATGACCCTGGGGTATATTTAATAGGTAGGTGTACAAGTCAAACATTGACTGACAATAAATCATAAGGAAATTAATTTTAGGGGGATGGAGAGATGGCTCAGTGGTTAAGAGCACTGGCTACTCTTGCAAAGGACCCAGGTTCCATACCCAGCATCCACATTGTGGCTAGCAACCATTTATAACTCTCGTTTCAGGGGATCTGATGCCATTTTCTGGCCTCTGGGGGCATTGCATGACATACATTCAGGCAATACACTCATGTGCATAAAAATAAAAATAATAAATAAAATATTTTAAAAAACAAATTTATTTTGAAAACAATTCTTTGGTGTACATATAATTTTACCATATACTAAATAAGAAAGCAAGTTTGTACACTATATGCTTGCATATTTTTACTTAAAAAACTGAATGCTGGCTAATATTTGATACTGTGGGATAAAATCTATATCAATGCTGAATGCCACTTCACATAACTAAATAGTGTAAAATGGCAGAAGTTTGTTTAGGGCCATGTCAAAAATTGTTGGAAGTTTTGTTCTAATCTCAAGTCAAATTCATTTAATGATTTTTTTTTTTTTTGGTGAAACTCAAGTGAGCAATCCCAAGAGCAGTTTTTAAAATCAAACTTTCTAATACAAAGGTGTACCAATTTGATACTTACATGCTAAGGAATGATGGTAGAAACATATTAAAAAGTCTTCATTTTTTACAATTAAAGCCTTATGTTTCTGAAAGAATAGAAACTTTTGGATGTACGATAAAGCACGGAAACTTGTAACATATAATCATCTAGAGTTTGAGCAGAGACACTACAGACTATGTAATTTTGCAGAGCACTGCTGTGATGGCATGCAAGTGCAATGTGTTCAGAGCCAAGGCTTCAGGGAAGTCTTGCAGCACAGCGTGGTGAGCACTGCCGGGGACACCTCAGATTCGTGATGCATTTGAATTAATATTCGGTCTTGCACATTCATAAATATGTTTTCACGAATCCCCACATTCTGTTACAGGACCTCCTCACACACAGTGTACGTGGCCGCACACTAAATGACACCTTCAGATTGAGTTTAGATGAGCTGTGCATGCTCCTTTCTCTATCCCAGTGCTGCAGTGTGAACACAAAGGTCAGTGACTGTCTTAGCCACCGTTTCATAGAGAATACAAGGGTGAACTGCGGACAGATTAGAGAACTGTATATAAAAAGGTGAAATGATGAGCTGGGCGTGGTGGTGGTACACATCTTTAATCCCAGCATGTGGGAGGCAGAGGCAGGCAGGTCTCTGGAGTTCAATGTGAGTTCAAGGTCAGCCAGGACTGTACAATGAGACCTTGCCTCAAAAGCAAGCACCACCACCAACAAAAAAATGGTGAAGCTTATCACATAAGCTGATAAGGAATACCTTTATGACCTTCTGGTTGAAAAGGACTAAAATACACTTAAGAAAAAGGTATTAAAAGTAAAAGTAAATGATAAGAGTTACAGTATTCAAATTAAGGATTATTGGTACACAAAGAATATAAAGGCAAAATGTTCATTCTTTTGCAGGACTTCTAAGCCATTAGGCCAAGAGCAGACAACCAATCTTTCAGGTGTCTTTCAGAACTCTGCTGCCCAGCAAGGGCCTTGCTGGATCTTGGAAACAGTATCTCCAGCATGAAATAGGGAGTTAGAAGTCAGGACACGTCCTTATCTTATGGGAGAATCTTGCCCTTTGATCCTTAGACCTAGAATTTCACAAATACAAGAATTTGTGAAATTTCTCTTATTGTTTGCTAGAAGAAAAGCATGCTGCTTCCAGTGGTTTGATGTGAAAAGCATGCATACATACATTCATACATTATCTTGGGTGGAGGACAAGGAGCAGTCCTGAGGGATTAAGGTCATATGCCCAGGTCACAAGAGGAGCACTTGGCTTAGTGAGCTTCTTCACATTATAAACAGTAGCTTTTTGGGTGCAAGATTAGGTAAAAGTCTTTAGTTTATGTCCATATTCAGATTATGTCCATATTGTAAAAGTCACTCCTACAGTCTTTGACAGTAGATTAGTGTCCAGACATAATAAAGACATATTGTAAATCAAAAAGAGGAAAAAGACTGATAGAAAAGTAGACAAGATATCAGCATCTCGCCACATAACCAATATAGATGATAATGCTCTGGTGGATTTTTACTTTTTTCTCCCCTCCCTATATAGTCCAGGGTAGCATCAAACTCCTGGTATTTCTGTCTCAACCTCTCACGTGCAATGATTACAGCATGTACCACTATATCTGGCTTGTGGTTTTTTAAAACACCAATTAAAAATACAAAGTATTACACTTTAACATTTTTTACATGTATTGTGTTTGTGTGTATGTGTGTGTGTGTGTGTGTGTGCACGCACACGCGCTTTTGTACCTGCCACGGCACACATGTGGGGATCAGAGAACAGCCTCTGGGATTCAGTTCTCTTCTACCATGTGGGATCTAGAGATTGTAGTCAAGAGTCATCAGGTTTGGCAGCAAGTGCCTTTACCTGCTGAGCCAACTCACTAGCCCAAAAACTTTATCCTTTTTAAGCAGAGTTAAATGAAAAATATTTACAGGTCATAAAGATGAGATGTTTTTAAACCTCTTGATTGACAATGATTTTAACTATTCCTGTAATTTTTTAAAGGAGTTAAAATAGTCCATAAACTAATTACTACTGAACTAAAGGAAAGTATGTTTTTCTTTTTAAATGCCATTTTATTATTGTTATTCTTTTAACTTTAAATAAACATTTTAGATGTTTAAAGAGAAAAAAGAGTTGGCAAGGGCTAGGAATAAGCAACTCACAGAAGGGAAGCCCAAGTGGCCTATGGGTATGTGGAAAAATGCTTAATGTCTTAATAAAGTGAAGATTAAAGCAAAAACGTAGGATACCACTTCCATCCTATGAACAGAAATTAGGAAATTGGCTAATTAGACGAGGCAGTGTTTGTAAAGCCCTTGCCCGGCACTCAGTAAACACTGAGTGTTAATGAATAAAGTACCTCTTACTAATAAGTGTGGAGTCTGGGACACAAACCCTGGTGCAACACTCTATAGGGTTGTAATTGTGGCACACTAACTAACAACGGCCTTCACTAGACAAGTAGGCATTTTTGCTCTTGGAAGAGTCTGAAATCTGGGTTGATTAATTTGAAAAGGAACACTCTTCCGATAGGCAGAGCCTTCCAGATTCATGATTTGGCTATGTGGGGAATATAGCTTTTGTCTGGGTCTACAGTGGTGGGAAGTGCAGAGGCTCATCTTCCTGTAGGGCATGGGGAATGGGAAAGAGGACGTTGGACTCTTTTGAACAGGACACACTCCTCAGCATCTATTTTAACGTTTGAGGAACAGAAGTAAAATACATTGGGTCCCCAACTTGAAACACCATGCACCCACCACAAGTAAGGAACCGAGATTGCCGTAACAAGAGCAATAAAGATAATTCTTTGAAAGAATGTTGAGTGAAAAAAGTAAGTAATTTCTAATATACAATGTCATTAATTTTAAAAACACCCTGACAGATGTTACTGGTTTTAAAAAAAATGCATACTGAGCACAGAAGCACTTACTAACAGCCTTTGGGGCCGAGTTGGAGGCTTGGATTGAATAGGGATAGCGAAAAAGAGAAAAAGTCAGAGAGAAGTTTTGCACACTTCACGAACAAAGTGAGGCACCACCCCGTCATTTCCTTGGCTCCATCTCCTCTAGTGTTTGCATCTTTCCCCGGGGAACACCTCCCAGGGACCGGCTTCCGGAGGCTCCGCCCCTTTCGAACGTTTGCCGGGGGCGGGCGGAGGTGTGCCAGGAGCGGTTGCCAGGCGACGGGGGACGCGCCAAGCGCCGGGTTTCAATCCCCGCAGGCGATAAGAGAAAACGTGTCGCCTTTTCAGACACTGGGGGTAGTGCACAGCCTCTTCTCCAGACTCCAGCCCAGTTTCTGAGATCTCCGCAGTCTCCGAGGTCGTCCCCCAAAAGCGTCAGGATGGCGGAGGTCAGGAGTCAGCGCCCCTCCGCTCCCTCTCTCCTTTGATTCCCGCCTCCCCTCCCCCGCGACTGGTACTCATCCTCTGTCACATCCACTAATTCTAATACCTCAGCGTCCTATTCCTACCTGCACCCCCTCACGTTCCCGGTTTCCTTGTTGGCTGGTCCCATCTTTCCTCCATGAATTCCCAAACCTGTACCTGGCATGCACCCTAATCTGAACTACACGTGATAACACGCACAGACATACTGACAATGTCTCATCTGACAGTCAACATGCTTATTAACTGGTCCACCCGTCACACCCTGACTCCCTAACTCACCATCATTACCTGTCACTTTCATCAAGGTCCTTCATCCTCACTGCCCTGTGTTCTCATTAACCCTGTGTTAACATCTCAGAGCCTCCATCCACCCCCCGCCCTGTGTTATAGTACCACCCATCTTCAGCCTCATTGATGAAGGGTCATTTCTGTACCCTTCAGTAAACAGTCTGTCCATTAGCCCTCTCATTTATCACCTCACCCACCCCACGTCCTTGTCATCACTTGTCATTCAGAGTCCCCATTATCTTTGGTCCTCCCCAAATTCTTCATCACCCTGTTGAAGTCCCCTGTACCTCTTCTATTACACAGTCCCATCCATGCCTCATCTATTACGCAGTCCCAGCCAGAATTGGATGCATGATTTGCCAGGCTTAGTGTAAAATGAAAAGCTTGTTGTTAAAAAAAATTGTTAAGAATTTTAAGACATTAACCAAGGAAGGGCTCCCCTGAGCACTGAAACGTGTGCGTCAGAAAGGGCACCTATGGAGCCAGCCCTGGTCCCAGTGTCTTTAGCACCGTCATGCCCTTCCCTGTTGCTTCCCCTATCTTCTCTATACCATCCACATTCCCCCATCTGTCAATCTCCTCCATGTCTAGTCCCTCTTTGTAAGCTCCACTCCCTGGTCAGTGGCTCTGTCCCTTCTTCATCCCTCTATCCTCTTTACACCCAGGTGCTCTCACTCTCATGTGGCTCTGACACCACAAGGTTGTGGTCACATCACTTCTCCCCTCTACCTAGTCTCATTCATGTGTCTTTGCTCCCCATCTCTTCCTCTTCCCATTATCTCCACCCCCTTGGTCCTTCCTTTGTATTTTCCATTATTTGCTTTTAAGTGTTTCTTCCTTCTCTCCTTCCCTCACCATCTTGGTTTATCTCACTCCTCCTCCTCCTCCCTCTCCTTCTCTCCCTTCCCATTTTTCTCCTCTTCCTCTTCCCCTTCCTCTTCCCCTTCCTCTTCCTCTTCCTCCTCCTCCTCCTCCTCCTCCTCCCCCTCCTCCCCCATTTTGTCTTTTTTGAGACAAGGTCTCCCTGAGCCCCTGCTGGCCTGGAACCCACTATGTAGACCAGGATGGCCTTGATTTCACATTGATCTGCCAGCCTCAGCCTCCCGAGTGATGGAATTAAAGGTGTGCACCACCACACCTGGCTTCACTCTTTTTTTTTTTCTCTACAAAGAAGCCCACCCCTCCATAAATTGGTACCTTCCAGCACCTACAACAGTGCCCAACACACTGAAAACATTTGGGATAGATGATGAATGATGGGATGTCACAGTTCCTCTGGTCACTCCATGTTGATAGTGTCTTTAAGTAAACCCATCACATACTGTCACAGTGTAGATGCCAACCATGCATGGTCAGAGCTAAGAGATTGTTTTTGCTTTGCCTTTAATAGCAGTATACTTTTAAGAGACAATATGAAAACACATCTCTTTTGTTCATAAAAGTTTCTTTAGACTGTTTCTTTCTTTGGTCTTTTTCCATTCCTATACTAAGTTCCAGGTGTACAGGGAAAACCTCGCTTGCACATAAATTATCAGGCTGCTGATCAAGTGTTGACATTAATACTACTTTCAGGACTATCACAGAGAATACTGTTGTGATAAGTTAAGGTGTGTGCTCATGTTTTGCATAAACAAACACAGAGCAACAGCAGCACCATATTTACTTAATAAAGTTTTTCCTCCTTTGTGGATTTGATATTTTGTGTTCTGTGAAATAATCTGCTTTTAGGGAAACCTCTGCTGAGTTTAAGATGTTGCTACATTAAGTTGTTATACCAAGCATACAGATATGCTTGTGATAATGCATCTATTTTAACCTCCAAAGACCATGTTTTGTTTGCATGTCATTTATAATTGTTTTTGGAAACTAAGAATATGTAAACTTTCTTCATACTGGACAAACTAGGCTTGTCAAAACAGGATGCAAACTAGACTACTTGGGATCTTAAGGGTGGTTTGAAACTTTATTATGACTGGGATGAAAGATCGTCTCATTTGGTCTCTGAGTGTCAATGGAGCGTTGACGCTAAGCCCCTTTTGTGTAGACTATCAGAGCATAATGTGGCAAGCTTACATAAAGTCTGTAAATCTTATCAGCTCCTTACTTTAAAGTCTTGGGTGGGTCTCTGTGGCCTACAGAATAATGAACCCATGCTCCCTAGAGTGCCATTCCATACCTCCAGTCTGTCTCTCACTCTTCTCATGCCTCTTACAGTTGAACCATCTTGATACTTGCTTGGCCCTGGGCTTTGCCATCTGTGGGGATGGACTTTTTCTCTAGAGTCACCTGTGAGAATCCTTTTCTTCATATATCCCACTCCTTCATTGAATGAAAGTTCTTGCTGCTTGGGTTAATTCTCTCTTCTTATGTGTTCTTATAGAACTTTTAATCCATTTTTACGACAGGGACAAATTCTTTACATCCAGTACCTACACAGTATACTCTACCAGCTTGGAACATGTAAATTCCCCATGGATGGGCCATTTATTCCTTACTTAGCTTGATCTTACAGGCTCCATCATAGAACTCACCTAAATCAGATGTTGGATAAATGTTTGATGAATGATTGGATAAACATTAACCATACCTTTATTTTTGCTGTTGTTTTGTGCTGTATCTAATAAGTAAGTACTCATCTTCTAGAGAGCAGCCATAACAGAGGAACACAAACTGGGTAGCTTAACACAGTAGAAATCTTTTGTCTTCCCATTCTCTACACTAAAACTCTAAAATCGGGATGTTGGAAGGGTCATGCTTCCTTTGAACTGTGAGTAGAATCCTTCCTTGCTTCTTCCTAGATTTTTTTTTGTGGGGTGGGTAGCCTTCCTTGGATTGCGGCTGCATCAATCTAAGCCATCTTCATGTTCTCCTTCTGTGTATCTCTCTGTGTTCGTCCAAATTCTTCTTTTTATAAGGACCGGTCATACTGGAGTAAGTTCCACCTTTCTCCAGTGTGATCTCAACTAAGCTAATTGTAATACTGTATTTACGTACACATGTATATTGCACACATGCGTCAGAAGATGAGAAGGGAAACATCCCAACACAGAGTCTCAGTGTTTCTGCTAGCAAGAAGCTTGTGCTTCTTGTGTGTGAAGGCCTTTCATTTGGGGCCACGGCAGCCCTTCCTCGACAGCAATGGGGTAGGTAACATTCTTGCTCTTTCATGCAGGAAAAGGGTGAAAAGGTGGTGCTGGAGGAAACTGCGTTTGAGGAAATCGAAAGAGATTTTCAGGAGGTTCTCAATGAACTTTCAGGAGACAAAAGTCTGGAGAAATTCAGGATTGAGTACGAGAAGCTCCACGCTGTCATGAAAAAGTCTTATGACAATGAAAAGCGTCTGATGGCCAAGTGCAGAGAGCTGAATGCAGAGATCGTGGTGAACTCTGCGAAGGTCGCCACTGCCCTGAAGCTCTCTCAGGATGACCAGACCACCATTGCATCCCTGAAAAAGGTCAGTGAGCTAGGTAAAGATGAACTTGAACTTCAGACATCATTCTTTAATTATACCTGCAGCGCTCAGGCTTGTAGGATCTGAGTATTAGGTAAAGATTTACAGGATGTAGATGTTCATGAAGCCTGGGGAACAGTGTTCACTTTGAAAGAAGTGATTAACCCTAGTGAAATTCAGCATGCAGAAAATAATGGAGAGTTTTACACTTTACCACTTGGCTTCTGGGAGATAATGGCGTAGCCAAAAGACTTAAAGGTAAGTAAATGCAGTATTAGGAATCTCAGTCTTGACAGAAGATGAGGATACAGCTGATAGTTTGTGGCTGTTTTATTCTCTCTCTCTCTCTCTCTCTCTCTCTCTCTCTCTCTCTCCCTCTCTCTCTCTGCACGTGCATGCTTGTGCGGTATGCTGGGGTATGTGTGTACACATATAGAGGCCAGAGTTTAACTGGAACAATGACTCTTCTTCCTCAGAGGTTGTCAACCTTGTTTTTAGAGACAGGGCCTCTCATCACTCTGGTATTCCCTGATTAGATTAGGCTGGCTGGCCAGTGAGCCCCAAGGATCCGCCTCCATCTGCCTCCTTAGCTCTAGGATTATAGCATTTGCTACCACTCCTGGCTTTAAAAAATGTGGCTTCTGGAGCTGGAGAGATGGCTCAGCAGTTAAGAGCACTGACTGCTCTTGCAAAGACCTGAGTTTGGCTCCCAGCACACACATGGTGACTAACAACTGACCATAACTTCAGTTCCAGGGGATCTGATGCCCTCTTCTGGCCTCCACAGGCTTGCATGTGAGTGCACTTAGATACATGCAGACAAAACATTCATACACATAAAGAATAAAAAAATTCCCCCTCTCCCAAATGTGGGTTTTAGGAATGGAACTCGGTTGTCATGCTTTTGTGACAAGCACTTTATCCAGTCAGCTATCACCCTGGTTTCTATTTTTCCTCCTGTTTCAGAAGATTGCTTTGCAAATTCCCATGGAACTTTTCACGACTGTTGTTCCTAGCATCCCTTTACTTTCCCCTTGATCTTCCCAAATGTTTTCGGGGATTTGGTCTGGAGGAATCCTGAGGAAGTATATATTTAGTTTTCATCCTTAAATGTGTTGCATTATTTTGAAGATAAAACAAAAATATCCCCTGTTGATCTCAGGGTCACAAGAGGTTGAGACATATTAATTCATAATTAAAACCCTAGCTCTGAGAAATAATTTATGACTGTTTTAGGCAATTCCCTTGATATTGTACAGTTAAAAGTAGTCCAATTCTGGAGCTGGAGAGATGGCTCAGAGGTTAAGAGTACTGACTGCTCTTGCAGAGGAACTCGGGTTTGATTTCCAGCACCCACATGGTACCTAACAACCGTCTAACTCCAGTTCCAGGGCCTCTGACACTCTCTTCTGACCTTTGTACATACTGCACAACATGGGTGCACCTACCTGCATGCAGGTAATACACTCATATACAAAAATAAAAATAAAATTAGAAAAAATCATCCAATTCAAATTGACTTTCAAAACCAGTAAAAGCTATGATTGACCTGTTTCTTTCTGAAACTGCTCTTTCTTTACTGTAATCTTTTTCTACTGTCATTTTCTTCTTTTCACTGAAAAAAGCAATGCACGGAAGCTTTAATTCATTTCATAATCAGATAACAGTTTTCATTATAGAATTTAAAACTGGAAATGAAAGTCATAAATTGATTAAAATCTAATTGGTGAAGTTGGTTTGGGTAAAACATTATGCAATCATATTTTAATTTAAATATCCTTCATTTGTTTTGCCCAAAAATAGTACATGTAGCTGCTCCCTAAGAATTTATCCCACAAATTGACATTTTGCTTCAAGTCACTAAGATATGTGCTATGGTTACACAGAGTACTCTTTCTGTCTGGCATAATAACAAACATGAATTTATTAAATATTCTTCTCCACCCATTTTTATTACTTGTCAACATAAAAATTGAATATTTTCACCTAAAATGTATAGATTTTTATCTGTATGAAGAATCCACCTTTCACTTGACAAAATATTTTCAAGTCAGTCAAGCGGCAGGGCAGACATGAACGATATTGCAGACAAACTCTCTCTGCTCCTTTATTCAAATTGTGGCCACTCACTTTTAAGTGTTTATGTGAATATTCCACACTTTATTTCACAACAGTAAGGACTCCAAAGCTGTGTGAGTCACGGTTTCCATTCCGGGCTATCGGGTTGACTTTCCCTTGTAAGCATTTGATGAGAGCCTGGGCTTGGGCTTCTGAAAATAAGAACTACTAAGTTGCTGTGTGTACTCTGGTGGCAGCAGGAAACAGTGACCCTGTGGAATGTTTTAAAGCCAAGCTTACCATCCAGGCACTCCCCTGGGATCTGAGGACAACACATACATATATATGTATGTGATATGTAACTGTATATGTGTGTGTGTAATTTTTCCATTGCTGGGAATCCATCTCAGGTCTTTGTGCACATTAGACAAACACTCTATTTTGGCCCTTGATTTAAAAAAAATATATTTTATTTATTTATTTATTTATTTATTTATTTAATTTTTTTGTCTTTTTGAGACAGGGTCTCCCTGTAGCCCCAGCTGTCCTGGAACTTATTATATAGACCAGACTGGGCTTGAACTCACAGAAATCCGCCTGCCTCTGCCTCCCAAGTGCTGGGACTACAGGCATGTGCCACCACGCCTGGCTGTTATTATTTTTATTTTATATGTTTACATGTATTGCCTGATTATGTATAAGTACACTCAAGTTGTGCAATGCCTGAGGAGGTCAGAAGAAGGTACCAGATCCCCTGGAACTGGAGTTACAGATGGTTGTTAGCTGCCATGTGGGTGCTAGGATTTGAATTCTGGTCCTCTGCAAGAGCAGTCAGTGCTCTTAGCCACTGAGCCATTGCTCCAGGCCCAGTCCTTGATTTTTTTTTTTTTTTTTTTTTTAAAGACAGCATCACTGTGTGTTTCAGGCTGGCCTTGAACTTTCTATGTAGCCTGGTTTGGCCTCAAACTCATGACCCTCCTGCCTTCATCTCCCTAGTGCTGGAGTTACAGGCATGTATTTCCATGCCTGACTTAAAATTATTTTGAAATTATGAAATTATTATTATTATTTTAAAAATATTTTTATAGAAATATACTGATTACTTTAATCTTTGGTTATACTTTCCTTTTGGGTATTTAAGACCCTACAATTGGCTCGGATAAACCGATTTATTTTTACTCTTAAGGTCGTTGAGGATCTGTTCCTCAGGGGTCACATGGAAGCATGGAGGAAATGTTTTCTCTGTGTTGACCCTCCTCTTTGTAGACTGGACACTGGTTCAAGTCCATCTGGTGGGGTTTCCATGGCCTCCCTGAACAAGAGGACAGGTGACTCATCACAGTTACAGGACATTTTGAGAGATGCTCCATAGTCCTCTGGAACTTAGTCGACCTTGGAGGGCAAGGAGCAAAAACTGTCCTTTAAGTCCCTCTGACCAGATTAGTATAGGCCTCAAAGTTATGGCTGTTAAACATCCAATAAGGTTAGTTCCACCAGTCTGGTACTTTTAATTACCATGTGCTATGTATATAAAGCTTGGGCAAAACCCAAATGTCCTCAGATAAACCTTGACTAAACATATATTTTGTTCCTTGACTAGTTGACTAAACTATGGCTTTAGAAATTTTAAGATTATGTGTATATTACTTTTGTCTCATCCTTTATAAATCATAATAAACCTACACAGACCCTCATCACTTGCTTAGGCTTTCTCATTTTTTTTCTATTTTGGAAACTATCTCCATTCCCATATCCTTTTAACATCTTTTACATTCTCATTTTCTTTTTTAATAATTATGAGACTTAATAACATTAACAAATAAATTTTCTGTCTGTTGTGATAATTCTTTTCCTGGGGATACTAAGCAATGTTTATCCCCTTTTATGGTTCTAGTATCAAACCAATGTTTGATTATTTTATGGGTATGAGTGTGTTGCCTGCATGTGTGTAAGTGCACCCATGTCATGCAATGCCCGCAGGTGTCAGATCCCCTGGAACTGGAGTTATAGATGGTTGTTAGCCACCACATGGGTGCTGGGAATCAAACCTGGGTCCTCTGCAAGAGTAGTCAGTGCTCTTACCTGCCGAGCCATCTCTCCAGTCCCCAATTTTTATTATTTAAAAATTATGTGTGTATGTGTATGTTTCTGTGTGAATTTGTGCATGTGAGTGCAGTACCTGTAGAAGCCAGAAGAGGGAAGAAGATCCCCTGGAGCTGGTGTTACAGGCAGTTAGTTGCCAGCTGCCTGGTGTGGGTGCCTGGATCCTCAACAAGGGCAGTACACACTCTTAACTGCTGAGCCATCTCTCCAGTCCCTAAAATACATTATTTTACTTGCAAAATTACCAAGAACTTCTATTCAATATATTAATTTAAACCTTGAATCTATGATCATTTTTTATGTATTAGAGTCTATAAAAAAATATCTGGAGGAACTGGAGAGATGGCTCAGTAGTTAAGAACATTGGCTACTCTTGAAGAGGACCTGGGTTCAATTCCCAGCATGCACATGCCGGCTAACAACTATCTGTAACTCCAGTTCCAGGGGATCTGACGCCCTCTTCTGATCTCTGGGGGCATTGCACAACACGGGCGCACTGACGTACATACAGGCAATACACTCATACATACAAAATAAAAAAAATAAAATATTAAAAAATATCTGGAATGCACATAAACTTTCATTTTTAATTTCGTAAATCTATTAATTTGTCAGAAACAATCCTTCTAGGTAGAGCTTGTCCAACCTTGTGGCCACACTGACCTATATAAGAAAACACACCTTTCCAGGCCCCAACTTGAACTGTACTTGCTGTTCACTGTTGGCTACTCATGTTGAACAACTCTGTAAGGGTTAGTATAGACTCTTGCATAGTGTATAATAAATAATATTTTTATGCAAATGACTTTGTACATTGTACTCACGCTGCTATTCTATCTCTTGGTTTATCTTGCATCTGGAATTCCATTTGGTTGTTTTTATTTAACTGGTTCTCTTTGGTCTGTTCAGGAAATTGAAAAAGCCTGGAAGATGGTAGACTCAGCCTACGATAAGGAGCAGAAGGCCAAGGAGACAATTCTAGCCCTGAAAGAGGAAATAGTGAACCTGACCAAACTAGTTGAACAAGGGTCTGGACTGTCATTGGACCAGGACAGCAAGTAGGTCAAGGCCTTCTTGACAGTGTGTTGAACTTGCCTTTGCAGAGTCCTTTTGCAGCAGGCAACATCCTGGTGCAGGTTGGTGCGATAGCTTGGGATTGGATGGTGGCTCCTTGAAAGGTTCTCTACACTGTAGAACTTTCCTTTGTGGGATTCCTGACATTGTTTTTCATCTAGCCCTATTGTTTCTTTTTAATACTCCTTTTTCTGCATCAATGATTATATTAAACTTCTTTCTCTGGAAGAATCAAAGCTACGGTTTCCAAAGGAGGAGAGGTTTTAGGTTTATTTCTCTTAAACTTGCATAGAATGGAACTTTGGCCTTTCTGCTCTGAGTCCTGGCAGCTCCCACCATGATAGATCCCATCCCCATCTTTCCTATTCCCTCAGGCTCCAGATGGGAATCAGGGGCACTTCACCCATTCCATGCCTTTATCCTGAAAAGCTTTGTCTAGTTAATTTCGATTTCCTATGGCTGCAGCTGCTGCCTGGCCTGCTCCTCTAGTCTCTGCTGGTGTCAGCATTGGCCTTCTAATTGGTCTTTTGGTCTGAAGCAAGACCTTTTCATCTTTATCCATTTCTGCTTCCAGATTTATGTTTCTGAAGCCCATAGGCACCTTTCCTGTACATAAGCACCTTCAACAGCTACCCATAGCCAAAGGTTAAAGTGAAAACTCTTGAACATGCCATTCAAAGCTTTTAAAAAAAATGTGTCCCGAGGATGGTGTGATAAGAATAGGAGGTAGGAATTGGCTAGGCAGTTAGGGTAAAAAGACCCCAAAGAAAAGTAACCAGTTTCTTGGCTAAAAGTCAAAATGTCCTTGGGCCTCTTAGCCACATACTCTGTTCCAAAGGTCAAAAATGTCAAAAAGTATTTGGGAGCTCTTATCTAATCCCTAAAAGATTTTAGGGTTACTCTTCAGAGGGGGAAATGTTAGAGTAGCCAAAAGCCCCATAAAAAATTCCACTCAGAATTCCTTCTGTCATATTCTTCAGTGTTTCTTCCTTCTTCCTTTCTGTCTGAGGTTGTACAATTTAACCATTTCAAATCCACTTGTGTAAATTACATATACACATTAAATTAAAATGAAGGTGGGCCAATTTTGTTAGGTTTACCAACAATATTAAATGTGTCCCAATTGCTATACCCACAGAATACATAACTGGACAAAATAACATTAAAAATATTAAACAAGTAAAAAAAGTGTGTCCCAGTTCACCTCTCTAGCCTTATACCCAGCCACCCCACATTCATTGCTTATGCCTCCATACCTTTGCATGTCCCCTCCCAATACTCAAGATGCCTTTTCTTCCCCTGGTAAACTCCTAGTTCTAGTCCTTAAAGTTAATCTTGAGCACCATCTTCACCTTGCCCCTCCCAGCACCTCCGTTCCACCCTCTCTTCACCTCCAGACTCCAATGACTAGGCAGAAAGAGTTACTGTGTTTCTTGTTTCCATAGGACCCAATATCCACCTTCAGTATGACACTGATAACATTATATTAAACTGATTGTGAATATGCTTCTCTACCCATTATGCTGTGAACTCCCTAAAGAGAATATCTTTGTAGTACAAGTCTAGTACTGTGCTGGATATGCAAAGCACCACATCAGCAGTGTTTGTACACCTCCTTGGACATCTTTTATTGTTTTATTTTATATGTATGAGTGCTATGCCAGCATGTGTGTAAGTGCACCCATATCATGCAGTGCCTGCAGAAGACAGAAGAGGGCATTGGATCCCCTGGAATTGGAGTTACAGATGGTTATTAGACACCATGTGGTGCTGGGATTCAAACTTAGGTCTTTTGCAAGAATAGCTGTTGCTCTTAACCGCTGAACCATCTCTCCAGCCCCTCCTTGGGCATCTTCAACCAAATCTAATGTTGCTCTCTTAGTTTCTTACATTTTCTCAATCTATTGGTTCAACTTTGATGAATGTTGTATGTATAGACACTGGGGGAGGGAAGAACAAAAACCAACACGTGGCCCCTGTAATGATGGACTCTTGTATTTTAGCATGTACATGACAACTGATTCTGACAAGGAGTTTTAAGGAGAGGAGGAAGAGGGTGAGGAGGGGAATGGGTGGCACAGAGCAGCCTGGTGTTTCAACACTGTGCTCAGGTGTAGCTGTCTCTTTTCATAGCAGCCCTGGAGTTGAGGTTTTGCTTCTGCAGACTTGCAGGAGCCTGGATTGAAGGCTTCTCATTCAACACGTATGTTATATCAAAGATGTTGGTGAATAAGCACCGTCAAATCACTGTTGAGAGCTACTGATTGATGACTGACTGCAGGGCAAATTTTCTGCTTTCTCCTGCTTAGAGCCACCTCATTCAGGTTCATGCTACTGCAGAAGTCATGTTAGAAACAGAGCTTCACACTCAGAAAGCACTAATTCTGCAGGAAGTCATGGTGAATCATATGGAACAGTTTTTGTAATGCAGAGCTATTTGGTTTACAATTCAAAGCAATGGATATTACCAAAGACTCTCCAAAACCCAGCACCATGTGTGATTTTCCAAATTTTTTTCTGGAGAGCATTTCATCTGGGCTGCAAGAAACTAAGCTCTTTGGGTGAATGGAGAGAAAATTGGCAATACATGTCATTTGCTTTATTTTAGACAGTTGTCATCATAGTCTACCAATGCATATGTTAATTTTTTGAATTGACATCTACTTAGGGCTAATTACAAGAGTTGATAATAGTAATATAGTCCTCTTGTAACAGATCCAAATAACACAGAGGTTTGGAAAGTATCAGTCCCTCCAACTGTTTATTATACCCCAAATTCCCATTTCTCAGAGATAATCTCAAAGTTAATAATATGATTGGTATCTGTCTTTCTGTATGAGTGTCTATAGAATACACACACACACACACACACACACACACACACACACACACTTGTCACGGCATTCTTTTTGTATGAGTGTCTATAGAAAACACACACACACACACACACACACACACACACACACACTTGTCACGGCATAGAGTAGACCTGTAAACTCTTCCAGGAAGACAGGCTTGGTGACAATAGGAAGGACCCCCCTCACACCCTCCCCAGCAAATGGCCACCTAGTGTGACGCTTGTGTTTCTCCATTTTAGTATTCGAGATTTACTGAAGTTCAAAGAAGAGGTGACGAAGGAGCGTGATCAGCTCTTGTCAGAAGTGGTGAAATTACGAGAGAACCTAGCTCAGACCACTGAACAGCAACAGGAAACAGAACGTGCAAAGGAAGATGCAGAACAGACCATCAGTCAGGTCTGATCACCACACAGGGCAGGATGAGGAGTGCCACCTTCCACAGGACAGCCTGTCCCTCCCACTTCTCTTCTCATCTGGTTCCTCCCTCAAATATGCCCAAACAAAGCCACCTCTGTTCAGTTTGCTTTCCTGGCTGGGTTTCCATGTGAACCCATTGCCAGTTTTGCCTGAGAAGTCAGCAGGACAGGGTTTTGCTTACACTTTGGACTCAAGTGGGTATCCCCGCATCAGACGTAGTGGAAGCACTTCCTTTGCCTTCTCCTATATGTGAGAGTAGTTGATGTAGTAGTTGATGTAGTAGTTAATTTCTAAGGGCAGAGTGAGAGAAAAACACAAGGCATTTTTAAAATATCAGATAAGTTTTTTTTTTTTTTAAGCGTTTAGACATCAAGTTCCAATCACAGTGCTTGGGTTACATAGGGTTATGTAAAGCACAAGTTCTTATTTGTAGTAGCTGGCTACATTTTACCTAGCTTCTACTAATGCAGAACTGGGGAAATTTTCCTATATTTAACATGGGTACAATTCTGAGCGTCTGCGTTTGGTTGATTTTATAGTATTTTCTAATTCTGCTAATTTTTTGCCTACAACCGTGGTGAGTCTTTTGGTGGCAAGGCCCTGAAAAACAATACTCCTGAAAAGTTTGAACTTCGAGGCTCAAGCATGACTTTTGCAAAGTGACAAGCTAGGCATGAGGGTGGGCTGATGGAGCTCTCCCTGTAAGGGCTCATCACTTTTCTCCCTGTCCTTTGTGCCGCCTACAGTTTCAACAAGAAATTCAACATCGGCAGAACGAGGCTTCGAGAGAGTCTCGCAAGAAGGAAAAACTAGAGAAGGAGCTCAAGCAGATCCAGTCCGATATGGACAGCAGGCAGACGGAGATAAAGACGCTGCAGCAGTATATGCAGAAGAGCAAGGAGGAACTGCAGCGTCTGGAGCAGCAGCTCAAGGAGCAGAAGGCAAGCCCTGCGCATGCGCGGGGCGCGGACCAAGCCCCCAAGCCCTGTGGTGCCTGGGTTCTTGCCTGCTGTTTGCATCCAGGTTCTCTGGCCTTTCTCCCTCTCTTTCTGTCCCTGCTCTCTCCCTCTCTCCCCTCTCTCTTCCTCTTCTCTCTCCCCCCTCTCCTCCATCTGCCCCCTTCCCCCACCTCTGTTTCTCTTCTCCCCTCCCCTTCCTCCCTTCCTTCCTTTCTTCCTTTCTTCCTTCCTAACTTTGTTCCTCTCCTTCCTAAGGGATCAGCCCCCCCCCCCCCCCCCCGTTGTCCTCACACTCACTATGAAGCTAAGGACGGCATCACCATGCTTGGTTCATGTGGTGCTTGGGATGAGCTCAGAGCTTTGTGTAGGCTAGGCAAGCACTCTGCTAACTGAGCTGCGCTCCACAGCCCACATTTAATGGTTTTCCTGGAGAACAGCAGGTACGGTTCAGTAGCAGCCGTGGCGGCAATGTACTACTTAGTTCTGTAAAGAGCTTTGAATGATTCTTGTGGCGTACCTGTGTACTCCCCTTACCCCAGGTACACTAAAATAATCTCTCTCTCCCCCCTTTTTTTTCCTTGCTGTACTGGGGATGGGGAATGCACGTAGAGCTTTAAAAAAAAATTGAGACAGGGTCTCCTTAGGTTGCCCCCTCTGATCTTGAACTTGCCACCCTCCTCCGTCTCCTGAGTAGCTGAGATTACAGGCCTGTATCACCATATATACTATCTCTGGATTAGTTGCTTTTAAACCTTTTTTTTTTTTTTTTAATGTGTAATATACATGCGAAAGGGTGTGTGTCAGTGCAGCTTCAAAATTTTTGCTATGTGAGCACTCCTTGTTCACTTGCACTCAGCCCAAGAAACAGAGCATTGTAGGGCCCCCTGAGTCCCTGGTACCCCTTCTCAGTCATCTCCCCCGCCTCAATTCTAAGCAAACAATAGTTCGCCTGTTTTTGAGCTTTGCAGAAATGCACTGTGTACTGGATACATTTTCCTGTATCTAACTTCTGGCATATTCTGTTGCTAAGATTCAGTTATATAGTCACTGTGTAACTGTATACCTATGGTGTCTGGTATGGTAGCCAGTAAGCCACATGTGGCTGTTTGCGTTTATTAGAACTAAAAAGTGAGGCTGGAGAGTTGGCTCAGCAGTTAAAAGCAAGTACTGCTTTCGTAGAGGACCAGAGTTCAGTTCTAACGTCCATGTTGGATGGTTCACAACCACCTGTGACACCAAATCCAGGAGATCTGGAGTTTGGCCCCTGTGGGCACCTGTACTCACAAGCTTATTAACACACAGATACACAGAGGCACACAGACTTATACACACACGCACACACACACACACACATACACACACACACAATTAAAAATAAGAAAATAAATCTAAAGAATTTTTACAAGTTTAAAATTCAGTTCCTCAGTAGTACTAGTATCATCTTATCATTTCAGGTGCTCAGTGTAACTGGTAGGGACCGTACTGGCCAGACACATAACACTGTGGTCACTGCAGAGTTCTGCTGCATAGTGCTCATGGACCATTCACCCTCGTTGCTGGACAGTGAGTGAGTGAGTGAATATAACTTTATTCTTAACAGGTTTAGGCTTCAAGTTTAGAAAACCATTCTTTTGATTTATTCATTTTTATTTTATCTGTATGAGTGTTTTTCCTGCATGTATGTAAGTGTACCATGTGCATGCAATGCCTGTGGAAGCCAGAAGAGGGGATCAGATCTCCTGGAACTGGAGTTACAGATGGTTGTTAGCTGACATGTGGGTGCTGGGAACCAAACCTGGGTCCCTACAAGAGCAACCAGTCCTCTTAACTGTTGAGCCATCTCTCCAGCCCCTAGAAAACTATTCTTAATCTTTGCACATTCCTCCCTTTCCCTGGAATTCAACTCAGTATTCTTTTTATTATTTTATTTATTTTTAAACATTTTAAAATTGAATTTTGTGATTTTCATATAATATAATTTGATGGTATTTAGATCCTCTCACTGTACCTCTCATCTATCTATCTATCTATCTATCTATCTATCTATCTATCTATCTATCTATCTATCTATCTATCTATATATACCTATAGAGCCCAATCTTTGTTCTCAAATGTCCTTCAGTGTGGGTTCATCCCTTGGAGCCTGGTTAACCTACCAAGAGTCTCATCTTTGAAATAGAATGTCTCCTTCCCAGCAGCCATTTGTTGCCAAAAGTTCCTTAGGTTAGGTTGGGGTTTCCTTCTTGCTTCCCCATGACTATGCTGGGATTTTGTCTGGTTTGAGCTTGCATGGGGCTTGTGCATGCTGTCACCATTGCTGTGAGTTCGTATAATCTTTACAAGTTTTTAATATAGTCCTGTTTCTAACATTTCCTCTTATGGCCATTTAATATAATACAGATATTAATAAATCTATTTTCTCTTTTTCTTCCTTTTATTTTCCTTTTCTTTTCTTTCTCTCCTCTTCCCTCCTTTAGACAAGGTGGCCTTGAACTTGCAATCCTCTGTATCAGCCTTCCAAGTTCTAAGGCTATGGATGTTCACCATTGTGCCGGGCTTCCTTTTTCATTTCCTAAAGAAACAATACATTTAGCTAGAAAAGTCTTTTCCCAAATACATTTTTCTTCTAGAAGTTTGTTTCTAAGAATTTTCAAAGCATACAATACTTTTCTACTTAAAAATATATTAGAATACATTTCTTTGTCATTTGATTTATTAATTTTATATAAAACCAGAATTCAAATGGGTAATACACAGTGTGCAGTCTTCAGGAGAAAAAAACATGAGATTTCTTTGAACATGAAATTGAAAAGAAAGGCTTTTGGCTACCAGGATAAAACAACAGTGCTTTGTGTAGCAGTATCCAGGATCCACATAAAGCAAAATTCCATCTTTTCTCATAGCTGGGTCCATTTTGTTTAGTCCCGCTTGACAGGAAATTGGATGATTCTATGTCTAGTTTTTGCATAAGAGGAAATTATGTTTTAAAGGAAGTGCCTAAGTCCCTCTTTTCCTTTAGTTCATTTGCTATCTGTTACCGCCTCAGTATTTCCCCCATAGAAATAACTTCCTCAGATATAAGCCTTTGTTGTTCTAAAACCATGTCTTCTTAGACTAGTCAAGGCAGGAAGACGAACAAAATCCAGCTGACGCTGAAGCAGGGCAGCTGTAAATCACTCCAGTGCTGTTCCACGTTTTGACTTAAGTTGGATTAGAGGGGAATTGTCTTTGTGTTGGTGTTGGGAAATGGTTCTGTTCAGGAAAATGTTGGAGGCATGTTAATGCAGGATTTGCTTCTGAAGATGCAGCTTCAGAGCCCCAGAGCTGATAAAACCCATTGGAATCCTAACTCATTTGCAATGATTATAGCAATTGTTGCGTATGCAAAGCCTGCCAAATGGCAAACAGGCATTAAAATATTTATCCACCACCTGTGAACAAGACTTCCCAAGGCTCTCGGAAGAAAAAAATCATGCTCACTGTGTTATTCATTAGAAGGCGTCATTTTCCGCAGACGTTTAACATTCATTATGTTGAAGTGCGTTAGTACTTTCATCCAGGATAAAGAAAAATTTCTGCAAAGACAAAAAAGTGTGGTGGTTATTATCTTCCCAGGAGGCTCCTGCGCCTCCTGTGTGTATATGCAGACATAGTCATCAGATTAAAAGGTATTAACCAGCCCCTTCACTCCCCTCCTTGCAGATCCTGAATGAGAGAGCAGCAAAGGAGCTTGAGCAGTTTCAGTTACGAAATTCTAAACTTCAGCAAGAAAATGAACAGCACAGTTTGACTTGTGAGCAGCTGTCCCAGGAAAACCAGCAGAAGGCCTTGGAGCTCAAAGTAAACACCACGTGCCATGTCTGATCCCTATCACTTCTGTCCTCATTACTTATGAACACAGGTTTGCCTTTGCGGTTGGAGCCCTTGGTTGGATGAACTGTATTAGCGCTACTAAGTGCCTTGATGCAGCAGGCAGGTGCAAACCACAGTGATTGCTTTATGCCCAGAAGCAGACAGCCGGGTAACTTCCGCTCTTCCTTATAAAATTGCAAACCTGATTATTGATCATATGCATACATGAGTGCTTTCTAAAGCAAGCTCAGATGTTCACTTCTGTAATTAGCCCTGCAAGTAACCAGTTGCCCAGAGCTAGAAACCATTCACTGTATGCATAACAGAGAACTCAGATTGTTTGTATGGAGAGGGTAGAGTGGGAGGGCTGGGGCAGAGACTGGCACTATTGGGTATGCCAACACTGTGAAACCATGATTTTTACTACTAGCTAATGTGTATTTCAAGACAGGGCTCCTGTTCTCCCTTCTCTCATGAAAGAATGCTTGCAAATGAAGTTTGGATAAATGCTTGACATTCAGATTCATGTTGTATGCCATTGTGATGAACAGAGCACCTTCATGCTTTTTACTTCAAAGAATTAAAGGAAAATCCATATTCCTTATTTTTGTTATATTCAGATACGGCCCATAAAAAGAACGGCTTACTAAGAATAATGTATAGATTTGAACAGTGAACTGTAACTTTTTTGTGTTATAGTCCCTTTTGAGACTCTAAAGAGAGCACACAGGCCTGCACAGCCCGGAGTTTGTTTTGAATGCTTCTCCCAAATAGGAGAGATTCCTGAGATTTTTCTTCAGTGTAGTCATGGGCTTTGGATCAATAACTATAGACTTATAGTATCTTATAATTTAAAAAGGCCTTAAGGTCAGCCAATTTGAACCTTCTAGGGTCTGAGGCTAAAGAACATTTAAAACGGTCTAGAGTGGGTTGACTTGAGACCAATTCTTTACGAGAAAGTGAGAAAGTGGTAAGTTGGAGCAGAGATGATAGGACTACTTAAGTCAGAATGATAGATTAGCCTCTGAGGTGACATTAAAGTAAAAAATACTCATGTCATTAATTCTGTCCTTTGATAACATGAATGGGGCATCTGAAAAGATGCACTACTTTTGTTATATCTCTAAATTAATGGGGTTATGTGTCTAGCAACAACCCAGAGATAACGATAACTAGCATAGCTAATTTCGGTCTCTTCCTTCCCTAGAGTTAAGACGACTGCAGAGGAATCCCTAACTTTTTTTTTTTTTTTTAACTATTTTTCACGGCAACATTTAAAAAAAGTGAATTAATTTAAAATTAAAAAAAAAATCTGTGAAACGAAGTCCATAGGTGCAAATCTGGAGAACTCCTTTGCGTCAATGTATTTTTTGGTACTTCTTGTCATATGTAGATTTGCATATTCATGCTGCCCTGTCCACCCATTGTATGTATATCCATAGGCTAACATAGGGAGAAGGTAACATATGAAGAAGTGGGTTCTTTCTCTAGTGTATGCAACTGGGTGACTGTGCCCCTGAAGGTCCAAAGGACTGTTTAAATATTTTCTAGCATGTTAATAATCTTCTCAGAGAGATCACTTTGCAAGCTTATGGAAATTGCTAATCAAATACAGCATTTGTATGCAAAATTCACATATTTATGTGCATGCAACTGAGGATTCCTGCTTTATTTCATAATTAGATGGGAACTTAAAACATTAAATTTTATCAGTCTTTTCATTATTTTTATTTTATACAGCCACATATTTTATTCAGAGAATAGAAGTCTTCAGTTTCTCTGGAAACCAAACAATGTGTGTATTTTGATTCAATTCCATGCAGATTTTCCTTTTATTAGTTCTGGATTTACCATAATTTAGTCACTGGCTCTTATTTGCTCAGCATCCTTGTTAATTCTCTCTCACTAATACAGGCCAAGGAGGAAGAAGTCCATCAGATGCGCCTTGACATCGGGAAGCTTAACAAAATTAGAGAACAAATCCATAAGAAACTACACCTGATCGAAGATCAAAAGGCAGAAGTGGAACAGCACAAGGAAACCCTGAAGAATCAGATCTTGGGCTTAGAGAGAGGTAAGCCATTTTGATTTTCGTTTTTACTGATTTATAAGCATCTCATTAGTGACTAATTCTATGTCACATCCCAGGACTCGGTGTGTGCAAATAGACTAAACCACGCCAAGTGACACGAGACAACATTCAAACTGGTAACCAGTCAACTGGAGGGACCTGCACTTGGAATATCTTGAACTCCCTTTCCTTAACAAACTCCTATTGGTATCATGTATATCGAGCCCAAAGTGGTATTCAGTATTTGCTTCTGGAGTGAATAACACCCAATCGGTTATGTATATCCATAGAAGAGAAGAGATATGTTAAAATGAATGTCCTTCACTAATAAGATCTGGGACAATATTTCAGAAGTATCTAGCACAGAGTGCTTACCAAATGTCATGCATTATTTTCTGAATAACACTCTAATTAAAAATACGAGCTGCTGTTCAAATTTGACGTGACTGAAATAGCTGTGGACTTGGGGATAGAAACTCTAGGTATGAATTCTGACTGTGTGAGGCAGGAACACAAATGTCTTGTTTCTCTCTTGCAGGCGGCTGTGAGCTGTAAATCTCTGAAGGAGATAACAGACATAAAAGCACAAAAGCATACAGAAAAATACACATTGCTTCTTTTTGAGTCAGGCAAAATCTAGATCTCTAGATAAGATTATTACACATACTTATCACATAAGTCTTTAGGAAGTGCAGCTATTTTCTTTCCTTCTAAGACAGTAGGAAGCAATCTTGCTGAGGTGTAGCTATAGATTAGCACCTCAATGTCTCCATTTATCTGTTCTGTAAACTGAGTGTAGACCATGTGCAGGTGGTGGGTGTGTGGAGGACTGTGCCTTCACATTGCATACAGGGTAGTGCAAGTTTCTAATCTAATGTCTTCAGTGGCAGAGATGAAGAAAAATGGAACAATTAGAGTATGTAACTGGTCAGGTCACACCAAAGCAGCCCCATATTTTAATTTCTATATTTTTGCTTGTTATAGGTCTAAGCTCTGAGAACAAAAAATGTTTTAATCTATTCAGCATTGAACCCAGTTCTTTCATCTTTAAGTCATAGTTATGAGAGCCACTATGTTCTTTCCTCTGGTTATTTCATATGTGCTGTTAGCATCAGTTCTTAGGGATTGTTTTGTTGTTATAGTTTGTTATGACATCTTGCCATATTGCCCAGGCTGATCTTGAACTCTGAACTGAAGCAATCTTCCAAACTTCAGCCTCCCAAATAGCTGGGACTACGGTGTGCACTGGTGGGATCTTTCTCTTTTGATGCACCTAATCAAAGAGCAGCATTGGGCATAATGGTTTGGATCATGGGTCCTCTCTAAATTGTGATTTTCTACCATAAAACCTAATAAATGACCTCAAAATCTACCAGAATTAAGAATAGAGTTCAATAAGGTGGCAGGTTATAAAATATATATGGAGATATCAATAGCATTTTATACAGAAAAATCAGTTAGAATACATGAAGGAAAAATCCCTTTCCACAATGGCAACTAAAGTAATAAAATATCTATGAATAAAGTTACCAACATAACTGTAAGATCTATAGATAAAGGAGCTATGGAATCCCATTGAGAAGCATAAAGGGAGACTTGAAAAATGAAGGTACATACCAAGTTCTTGAATAAGAGCTCTCCACACAGTGAAAATATAAATCTGTCCAAATTAATCCTTACATTTAATATCTCCAACAAAAATGTTGGTGAATTACATTGTCTGGAAGTTGAAAAAGGATTCTAGAGTTCTTCCAGATGAACAAATACATGAAAGTGTCCATGAAACCCTGGAAACAGAGTGGAGAGGGACCCTTTACCTCATCAGATATTTAATCTGTTTAAATGCTTCATAAAGCTCCAACAATCAAATATTACGGTGATGATGACTGAGTGAACAGAACCACGGAAAAGACCAGAAAACACCCAAGAGAGTGATCTAAGATAACCAGCATGCAGCATGGATTATTTTGAAAATGGTTACATGATAGAAAGCTACTTTCTAGGGGAAAATAGTTAACACTAAATGTTCAAACCATAAAGTTAAAATTGAGAGAGCCAGTGAAATAAAAGCCAAAAATTTCTATGTAACATAGACTTCATAAACAAAGACAAATTAACCAAAGTACTGGCAGTGTCAAAGTGCCTTTATCATCTGTCTATCATCTATCTATTGTCATTCTATCTATCTATCCCTTTATTTGATGGTACTGTTGAATAACATTATTAATTGTGGGAAGTCATCAAAGTTCAACCCAAAGATGCCTACGGACAGAACTCCTCTTCCTTCAGGGGTGGACTCTCTGATATCTGTTCTCAGATTCATTTCTTTGAGCCTCAACTTCCTTATCTACAAAAGGAGTGGGGATAGAACTTTTGCTCTTATGAGGATTAGATTAAATTGTATTGCATTCAATATCTGGATTTTGGTATCTGTTTATCACTCTTCATTCTTCCAAATCTACCTCAGTAATCGATTGCCTTCTTTCATTAAAGTCTGCACAAATAGTTTAAGCTATCTATCTATATCTATCTATCTATCTATCTATCTATCATCTATGTATCTATCATCTATCATCTATCTATCTATCTATCAATCATCTATCTCTCTCTTTATCTATCTATATCTATCTATCTATCATCTATGTATCTATCATCTATCATCTATCTATCATCTGTCTCTCTATCATCTAATCTATCTAAAATATGTCAGGAATAGGAGTCACAGGTAGAAAAGAAAGCAACCAACCTCAATAATCCAGACTAATCTTTATTATAGTCCATGAGGACTGGCTAACTGACCAGCAGGAATTGGCAACAGCCACACTGGTCAAGTGGCAGGAGAGTTGAAGTATGTTTGAGCACAGAAATAGAATCATGGGGTAGGGTAGGGGCAGATCGTTTTGTGAAGGGTTTATGGTGCGCACTGTTTCAATAAGGGTCTCTTCTGGTGGAAGGACTTGTTTGCAGAATAAGAATCACTTTACAGTTGGTGTTTTTTTTTTTTTAATGTGACTTGCCTTTAATATAGAGCTCTATACTTATATTAACGTGTATATTTGCATTGGAAAAACATTGGAAAGAGACATGTCAACATGCTGAGTAGATTCTGGTTGATTTAATTTCCTTCGTTTAGCTGTATTCTAATTTCATGCCCTAATTCTACATACAGATATAATGAAAGAGATCTAAAAAAGTGCAAAGACTTTTTGCAGATAGGAGTCCAGGCTTCAAATCTTACCCCTTGGTCACCACATGATCAAGTGGCTTACTTAATCTTTTTTTTTTTTTTTTTTTCGTCTTTTTTGAGACAGGATCTCCCTGTAGCCCCAGCTGTCCTGGAACTCACTATGTAGACCAGGCTGGCCTTGACATCACCGACATCTGCCTGTCTCTGCCTCCCGAGTGCTGGGATTAAAAGCATGTGCCACCACACCTGGCACTTAATCTTTTTAAGTCTTAGATGATGACTTTAGTTTCAGAGATAAGAATGACCATCCCCTATCACTCAATTCTGAATAGTTGCATAACTACAGTTAAACACATAGAATCATTTTTGGGGTTTGTTTTTAAATCACTTTGGTTTTGTATATATTGTCTCTCATACTGACTGTATTGTTATTTTCCTCCCTGGCAATTTAGAGGTGGAGTCTTCAAAGAAGCAAGTAGAAATGGATAAGAAAGCAATGGATGAGCTTCTGAGAGAAAGGGACATACTAAATAAGGTGAGATTGTTACAGTAACACAGGTAAATAAACGCTTTTCTGTGTAATATCTGCCATAACCAGTCCTATGGGGAAAGAAAACTCAGACGCAAACAAAAGTGGATTAGAATAAATAATAGTGCTCAATTTTCCTCTGAGCAGCTGCTTACGGTCTGCCATTGTCTGGCCTGGAATTGAAGCTACATTATCACCACTGAGCACAAAAGGACTCTGGAGAATTAGCATACAAACCAGCAGGGATTTCAGAGTGTTTTGTGCTCCAGCTCTCCTGGCTGGTGTGTCACTTGGCATCCTAAGCAGTTGATCAAATTTTCTGAATTTAATATCTCTAATCTACAATGCTGGATAATCCGAAAATTGCAAGTGTGCACATGCTAATTAAATTTTAACTTTGTGGTATTAGGTAAGAAAATGGCTGGTTGGTGTTGCAGAAAGTCTAGCTTTTCCTTCATCTGTCTTTTCAGGATTGCTGTGGTTTTGGGTTTTGGTTTTGAACTTTTGTCTCTTTGGGTCTCTTGAGTTCATGATGGTCCAAAGCTAAGGGAGGGGTTGAGGAAGGTTGAAGAGTGAGTTTCTCTATAAAGGCAGGATTGATTCCCTCTTTCAGAAACCCTCCTTCTAGAGGATTCTTTCTATTGACAGTCATTTAAATTGGTAACTTTTGAGGATTTATGGCAGAATTTCCTGCTCAGAGATTTTCTCCTGGGAGGGAGAAACCACAGGGTAGGTACTCCATACCCAGCTTGGCAGGACAGCTTCGTAAAGGAAGGAATGCCTCAGTGTGTTCCAGAAATGAACGGATCTTAACAGATCAGAATATATTCACTGGACATAGACTAAGGAGTCTCTAGAAATGGTAAGAAATCAGCTGTTTTCACAGTAGGAACTCTGTAAGAAAATCTTTAAAATCTCTCTTCTTCTCACAGTTCTGGAAACTGTTCCTTTATTTTATAAACTGTTAGTATTAAAAATACTATTGGAGTTACTTTAATTTTTTTTGTCCTTTTCTCCTGTGGTGCAAAGAATTGAACTCAAGGCCTTGAACATGCTTTGCAAATGCTCTACCACTAAGCTACATATCTAGCCCTGGATTTAGTTTTTTAAAGTTTATTTTTAACACTACTAACATTTAATCCTGCATATTTTATATATGTTGGTATATAGCTAGTAGGCTTTCTGTCACAGTAGGACATTTGATCAGTCATTTTACATTTAGCTGTTTGGTTTAAGTCATTAGTTCTTTCTTTAGGGCAGGATATAATTTAAATTTTTTTCCCAGGCCAATACCTGCAGTAGACTCAGTTGGTATGTAATCACTTTATTGATAATAAATTCTTTCCTCACTGATTTGAAATGCCAATCTTTGTAGAAAGAATGAGTGACACTGTTTTTACAGGCAACATGGTACATCTATTTGTTTCAGTATTTTGTGGAAGTGACTTTGTCTTGTATAAAATAAATGCTGAACTTAATACCTGAAAGTCAAATTAACCTTTTCTCTTTTCTGCACCATCACTCAGCCAGCGTCTCATGAGTTTTGTATATCTGTTTATAGTCCAGTGGTTTTTCAGACCTAGTTGTAAGCCTGGATTGCTTTAGGGATTTGAGAAGAAACTCCAAGGTGCCTTATGGAAGACAAGGATCCAGCTGGGCCTCAGGAGGTGTTAGGAACCTGGCTTGCCATTCTCCGATGGATGGAAGCCTTTCTCCACCACTAGCTTTCCAGCTGGGCTTTTATTCGTTCTTCTTTCAGTAAAGACTCTCTACTTTCCAGTCCGCACGGCAGGAAAATGATTGTCACCAACCGCTCCCAAGGATACACTATCTACTGAGCTGTAAAAATCTGAAGTCCCATGGCTGGGGATGTGGCGCAGGGGCAGAGTGCCTGCTTGACACACATGTGGCCCCTGATTTGACTCTCAGCACCACACATACAAACTCACAGACATAAATGTACACACGAAGGCCCTCTTAAAAATTACGTGGGGAGACACATTCCATCCATTCATCTGTGGATGGTGGGGTGGACCCTTTTGGTAAGTATGGCTGCCAGGCCGAACCACTACTGCTCGCTCCTTCCTCCAGAGGAAGGTAGGCGCCAGGAGACGGCGGGTAAGCTCTCTTGCTGCCACATTCGATGACCTGAGTGCGATCCCCGGAACTCTCATGGCAAAATCAAAGAAGAGAACCTGTCCCTCAGGTTGTCCTCTGACCTCCACAGATGTGCAGCGGCATGTATGTGCCCATGCACATGAGTGCATACACATACACACACAAAATAAATAGATGTAAAAAAAAAATGTAGGTTTCTGGGTCCCACTCAGACCCATTCAGATACACTGGACCTGGGACATGGGCATCTACATTGAAACATTTTTTTTTCAATCTAGTTTTTTTATTAGCATATATTAATTACACACAAATAATGATTTTGTTATGCCAGTTTTCATACTCGTGTGTAATACATTTTGATCACATTCACCCTGCATTACACTCCTGTCCCTACCCTACGGCCTGTGTCTCCTTCCTTTTCCAAAGTAGTTCACCTCTCCTTCCCTCTCTAGTTTGTGTGATTTAAGGAGTTTTATTAGGGTTGCTTACAGGACCATGGGTGAAGGGTTATTTATAGAAACACTGGCATCTTATCAGGGTCTCTATCACTGAAAAATAGCCTTTTTATTGTGGTAAAATAAACATAACAGAGTATCTATCATTATTGACATCTAGTGCTTTTTTTTTTTTTTCTTTTTTTTTTGGTCTTTTTGAGACAGGGTTTCCCTGTAGCCCCAGCTATCCTGGAACTCACTATAGAGTTCCTGTAGACCAGGTTGGTCTTGAACTCACAGAGTTCTGCCTGTCTCTGCCTCCCGAGCTCTGGGATTAAAGGTGTGCGTCACTACACCTGGGCAACATTTAGTGCTTTTACAAGGTATTTCTACCATTATCAATATCTGATTCTAGAACATTCTCAATACCCTGAAGGGAAGCCTGCATCCAGTCTACAATTATTACTCATTTGTCCCTCCTCATACCCCTGGCAACTTGTAGTGTGCTTTTTGTTTCTATGGAATTGATAATTCTGGGCAACTACAGAGATGGAATTGCTAAGTAGCTCTTTGTGCCTGGTGTCTTCTACTCAGAAGGTGTTTTCAAGTTTCTTCTCTATTGTAACATGTGTCAGAGTTTTATTCCCCTTTCTGGTTGAATAATATTCCACTGTGTGGACAGGCCATGCTTTGGGTCTCCCACTTGGTAGATATTTTGGGTGGTTTTTGTTTTTAGGCTTTTGTGAATGGGAATACTATGAACATTTATGTTGGAGACTTTGTTTTCATTTTCTTAAGTTTCATTTTCCTGTTAACTGGCATGCAGTAACTCTATACATTTTGGGGACTATACACTGATGTTTTGTATGTTATACATTGCCTGTGATCAAATCAGGGAAAGTAAGGAGTTCATCATTTTAATATTTACATTAATCGTTTTTGTTTTTGTAGCAAGAACATTCATTCACAATTCTCTCCTTTTGGTTCCATTTCTTTTAGGAATAGGCCCAAGAGTGGAATTTCTGGGTCATATGTTGATTGTAGGTATCTGCATTTTACTTCTTCATTTTTGTTCTTTTAAGAGGGTTTTCCCTCCCAGTGGTCTGGATGGAACCCAGGGCTTCATGCTTGCTGCTGGACAAGTCTCTGCACCATTGAGCCACATCCTTAGTCCCCGTATGTATCTTTTGAGGCAGAGTAGCCCAGGCTGACCTCCTCATGTTCACTGCATAGCAGCATCTAGCCTTGAAATCCTGTTCTTCCTGCCTCTCCCTCTCTACCAGAGTGCTGGGATTATAGGCCCACATCCTGGTGTCAGGCTCAGCTCTGCATTTTTTATTTATTTTTAATTATTTTTTTAATTTATTTTTTATTTAATAACCACAATATTAGAAGGAGCATTTCATTACAGCTTTAACATATTTAGTAACAATTTCCAGAGCAAGGATAGATCTCTTTCAAAAGTGGCTGTAAATTTTTAGGTTCGCAGTTGGAATTAATATAGTTATACAGTATTGAACTCAGTATAAACCCTATAAGACATAAAATTAAATGAGGTTTTAAAATTTAAAAAAGATCTCCATTTTATTATTAAAATACAGGGTTTCATAAAGGAAAATTCATTTCTAATTAT